ATTTTATAAAAATAATGTAAAAGCATACTTTTATTTACAAAAAAAAAAAAAAAACCGTTTTGTATTTGCTGTAACATTTATCGATGTTTGGAACCAATCTCTGAAGACGGCTCTTGGATATAGTATATGTTAATATAATTTTCGTATGTTATTAATATTTTGGTTGAGGAAATTTTGTGTTTTAAATTATATGTTACAAGTAATAAAAAAAATGTTACATACATAAAGAATAATGTAGGGATGGTAATGCCAATAAGTACAGAAATATTTTTTGGAATTTTTTATTACATGTTTTCTCTCTTTTTTAAAAAAAACAATTTCGTTGAAGTTAGTTGATAAACGAACATTTGTTATATTTTTATCATTCAATCTTAATATAGTATATTGTTATATATCATAACAGTTTTGTCAGTTTCTCTAATTTTGGATACATTTAGGGCCAGTAAAACTGGAATGGTTCCTAGAGGACGGTAAAATACCCCGGAGTGCTGAACCTACATCAAGGGGATATTTAAAGAATCCACACCTTCCAACTTCCCCCCCCAACTCACTGCATGTATGTACAATCGACTCCAGACTCGGCCCCACTGAAAATTTGAAGTAAATAAGTAAGAGATGTATTTCATTCCAGTCCAAGACTGGCTGGCTACTAGAGGTGTACACCCTCTCTTCAGCCAGAGGATGTGTCAGATAAATAGGAGAAGAAGATGAGTGAGTAAGAGAGAGAGAACTAAAACTGGGGCTGGCTACTAGAGGTGTACACCCTCTCTTCAGCCAGAGGATGTGTCAGATAAATAGGAGAAGAAGATGAGTGAGTAAGAGAGAGAGACTAAAACTGGCGAATGTGGGGCAAAAAGGCGAGAAAGTGTATGTAGGAATGTCGCAGTGAAACAAGAGAGAAAAACGAGAGTCAGAAACATATGAATGAAAAGATCATCGGCGAATCAGAAGAGTAGATATAACGTGGTAGGGCAGACGGCGGAATGTCAATATGTTAGGGATCATCAGGAGGAAGTGATAGTGTATACAAGTTCAAGAGATGTTTCAGCGGAGGTGTGACACGCAGAGCAGGATGGAGAGGGTTCTCAAGTGCAGTGGCAAAGATAACATTTTGACTACGAAAGCAACGCTGGACATAACGAACCCGTAGGTGAACAAGAAGTGGAGAAAAGGTAATACGAGAACAGAGGTCACGAGTTGGACTAGGTAACTTTTGAAGGAAAGTAGACCGCTATATAATTTATTGTTTTAATAATTAAGAAACTGGTGTTTTTAAACTCATGCATCAACAACATGTACACAGGTCTGTTAGTTAGATAAATACTTGATCTCCTTTATACATTGAATATTAATTTAGATCATTCTTTATTTATTTTTACTGATATTGTTTTGGCAGATATCATGTTTGTGCAATGAAGTCACAAACAGTCGTTATATGAGAACAGTTTGTGCTGTCATCTAGCGACCATAAATGAAATTGTTATTTATGAAACATGGATATAATATATGCTTATAAATTGAACTCACTGATAAGTAGTAGTTTTTCTTTTTATTATTTCCCAACAAAAAACACGTGTAGTAGAAGAACCGAATAATGCTGCTTTCATACAAGTTGTGAAACACTCAATAATGACAATTAAGGCTATAACTCAACTTTAGCAGTTCTTTGTAAGCATCATAGAGTAACAAATTGAATGCGGCCGCTATTTTTTTGGCCCACCCCTAGATACTAAGTACTACCGTGCTTAGTGATTAATATTTTAGTAGAGGAACTACAGAATATAAAGTAAAAGAATTACAGTTTTGTGAATGTTGGCTTTCAATCGCAGTAACATAACATCGTGCGTAAAGAAGAAGTAATACGGTTTTAACAGGAACAAAACGTTGACGCCCGGGCGTTGTCACTATTATGGAATGTTGAGTTAAAAGTATTGTTATGTCAAAACTACAGCTTCAAGTAAAAATAACTATATATATATTTAAACTTATGTTAAAATGTTACAAAGAAATGGATTTCAATTCCACCAGCTTTAGGTTTAAATATATATGCATCTATGTATGTTTATGAACATCGTCTGACACAGAAGTAGTCACAAAACCATTCAATATTTTTTCCCGTTAAAATACACACACACACGAATTTTTGGAAATATGGTAACGCTCCTCCAGGCATTTCAGTATAAGGAATTAGTTCTAAAAACCTGGCAGCCACTTGA